ATCAATTTAAAATTATTTTAATCAATCTATTATATTTTTAATTTTTTTACCAGCTTATTTTTATTAGTTAATATATTATATTATTAAAATTTTGCTTCAATTATATTTTGAGATATTTTAATTGATTAATTTTCAAGATGCCTCTTTACTCATTTTACATTCTTATCAACTAGTTTTTATCATAAATGATTTGTTCATCAACTAGTTTATCAGTCATCAGCTAACTTATCAGCCAGTTTGCCAAACATAACGTTGGTTTCATGGCCTTATATGAGTTTTTAATTAAAGGAACGAGCTTTTACTCTTTCCTTTTTTAATCAACAACCTTTTATTATATAGTATGATGTAATTAAAAAAAATACATTAGATGGTTAGACTGTTAAAATCAGTTTTGTAGAAGGTCATTCAGTTAAATAGCACGATCATTATTTGACCAAACTAGGGAAAACCGTAACATTTAATTCTCCACATTTTTATAAAAGTTACAACATTTTTAAAAGATCCTTAGTAAATGGACACGTGGATGCTCCTAGGTTGAGTTTGCTTCATATAATGGAATAAGTCAAAATTAAAATATGTAAAAGAAATTGGAATGAAATTTAATCAGATTTGATTATGTGTTTGGTTGATAGGTATTGAAAGTGGTAGTAGTGTCGTTGGTACTGATGGTGGTTGTTATGGCAGTAGTAGCACTGACAATGACTATGGTGACGTTGGTGGTGATGACGACGGTGATGGTGGAGGTGAAGGCGGCGGTGATGATGGTCTGGTGGCAGAGATGAAGGCGACGGTGGTAAAAAAAGCAGCACTGCGTTTTGAAAATTTGAGTGATTTTGAACCTCATGTGACATTGTATTTCAGTTATAATTCTACGAAGAAAAAATTGTATTTAGACGTAATTTACTTTAATTCATTTAAACTGGAGAGATGTGTCTATAAGCACAAGAAACACGTACGTATAGGTACACACATATAACATATACAATACACATACAAAAATAACATATCCATACATATATAGTTCAAGGTACTTTGTATTTTCGTAATTAATACCCTTGTTTTTGAATTTGTAGGTAGCAAAAATGAAATCAACGACATCGAAACAGTTGTGATTTTATCAGCACCTTCTTGCAAAAAGGAATGTGACATAGAGAGGTACGACGGATTTTATGGTTGGTGGTGTTGTGGTGATATGAAAATATGCGATTACAGATATCCTGTGTGTGACAAGATGTGTAAGAAAAGTAAAAAATGTTGCAATACGAAGATGTAAATGATATTAAGTGACTGCTCATATGGATGTTTCTGCGTTAAAACCTATCAAAAAAGGTTTTGATTGCATGTTATCATGTTGACCATGGACCTGCGATGTTAGTTAAAGTTTATGTATACCTGAAGATAAGGTTGTGAAATAGAGGACTTCAAAGTCCGGCTTGGTTACAGAGGCAATCAAAGTATACACTATAACAAAATTGGGTTTATAAGACACCCTCAATTTTTAAGCGTCATAATAGACCTCTTTACAAGATTTAATTTACAGGACCAAAAAAATAAAGTGTCATATATAAAGGTGTTGTAATAAGTTTATATGATGCTTTTTGAAGTCATAATAAGTTTTTTATGACACTTTCTCAAAAAGTGTTCTATAAAATTGCTAATGCAACACTTTGTATTAAAAAAAGTCGTAAAAAACTTGTTAAGACGCTTAAAAGCGTCATATAAACTTACTACAACACCTTTAGATAAGACGCTTTATATTTTGATCCTGTAAATTAAGTCCTATAAAACGGTCTATTGGGACGCTTAGAGATTGGAGGTGTCATAAAATCAATTTTGTTGTAGTGATATGATAACCTCGTTAGACGTTATGTACCATGAAAAGTGTGACTGCAAATATTCTATAGGAAAGAACACGCTATTGGACTTCGATTGAATGGTTATTAGTTTTCAAAAAAACGAATGCATGTGCAGAGTTATTAGTGTATAGTTTCGTTTATTCAGAAATTTGTATGTGTGAAAATTGGTTTATGCATAATTTTTAGAAGTGCATAACTCGGTTACAGAACAATTTGTAAGTGCGGATTTTATGTAGCAATTTATATAAGCACAACTGTGCAAAAGAAAAGGAAAAATCAATATAAATGCATGAATTTTCACTACAAAAACCAAGAAAATACATCTGAACGAGTATATGAAACATCAGATAATGTACCACGACATGTTTGAGTCAAATGACAGGTTTTAATCTAAATACTGAGACTAAAAAATATCAATAGCCATAGGTTTAATTTGATGTAAAATATTCAAGATTGAGAATATCATGATATATATATATATATATATATATATATATATATATATATA